TTTCTTTTTTCAGTTATTTCTGTGGGGTGTGTGTGAATTTTGAGTTGTACTGACAAACAATTCATCTATCATCCGATTCAATGATTTAGACACACTAAAAAGAGGTGTGCAGTGTGTCTTAGTTTCCTGATGCTCCTGTAATAATAGCAGGACCACAAGAGGGCAGTTTTAAAGACCAGAAACTTACTTTTTCTTGGTTCTGTGGTAGTTGCTGGTTGGCACGCATCTGGTACCCCAGGGTGCAGAGTGGAACTGCGGCACTCCACACGATTTTCATGGCTCTGGCTTTTCAGAAGTAGATTGACAGGTCTTACTTCCAGGGTGCCGCTGAAGGGGTTCGAACAGCCACTTTCAGTGAAATACTCCAGGGCTTAGCCATTTGGCTGGATCTCCAAATGAGGACATTGGCTCTTTCTCCACTTTAGGGAAAACCCTGTCTCAGCTTCTGTAGGTTCTTCTTGGCATTCTTTGAGATCCCTCTGGGCCATCTGCTTCGCCCCTGTGTAGTGGTTACACACTGGACTGCTAACCGCAGCTGCTCCACGGGAGAAAGACAAGGCTTTCTACTTCTGCAGAGAGTTAGTCTCAGATACCACAGAGGCAGTGCCACCGTGCCCTACAGGGTCACTGTGAGTCAGAATCAACTCGACAGCAGAGAGTTTGCTTTGATTTGTCCTTACTTGTATCTATGTCTACAGCTATGTCGATCATCACACCTCACACCCTATGGCTTCATTAACATAACAAAAACCCCTGTTCCTAAATGGATCTGGGCACCAGCACCTTATTTTGGAGGGACCGAATAGAATCTGTAACAGGACTTGGGATCAATGTCTAATCAATGTTCCATGTGTTGAGACATGAGACTATTGCTACCCATGTCCCTGGATAGCTAAGCTTAATGTACACTCTAGGAGCGGTTTGGATATGCTATCAGGAGAGACCAGGCACCATGCTTGGTCAAGAGAAGGGGCAGCAACAAAGAGGAAGGCCTTCGATGAGATCGACTGACAGAGTATCTGCAAATGGGCTCAAAATAAGCACAACTGTGAGGATGGTGCAGGACCGAATAGTGTCTCTTTCTGTTGTACCGACTCCACGGCACCTAACCGGAACAACGATGAGTGCTTAGGTGATACTTATATACGTAATTAGCCTGACCCTTAAAGGGTGCCTAGGGCACATGGTTTAGTACTGCAGAGAAGACGTGAAGGGAAAGACCTAGGACTCTCACCTATAGTCCCTCGCAACTTCCATTCCTTGCCAAAATGAATGTGATAACTGCAAATGTCTAGTTACTTAAAATTAGCTCCCAACACCAGATCTTTACAGAGAAAATGTGCAAGTTCTTTTCTTAATTAGCAGTATCCATAATGTAGTGTAGGGTTTTTTGGTTTGTTTTGTTTTTACTGAATAGGTTACGTAAACCTCAAATTAGAGGATTCGTTAAGCGAATATCTGCCCAGGTTTAATAAAGATGAATCAAGCGCCGGGCACTCTAAAAGTGGATTGATGCCCAGGACACACTACCAGAAGGGCTCAACATGCC